GGAATTTCTCAAGGGGGGAGCAAAGTTCTGATGCTGCTTTGTCTGAAATGAAAATAGGGATTTGCATCTGCATCTTCCAGAATACAAACCCTGACCACCGACAGTGGCTATTCAATAGCCGTACGCCCCCACTTGCTTCCATAATCAGTTTCTATTTTTCATGGGAACAGCTTTTCTCTCTTGGGCACCAGCGCCTCACACGTACCGTTACGTGCCACGTGTTTTCCATCCTCACCCAGGAGAAGCTTCAGACCTGGAGAGTTAGTTCCCTCTACAGCTATTTTCTTCCCACAAAATAAACCCGTATCTTTAGATGTGTCTTTGTAAATTCCGTCTCCGTCAGAGTGGCTATAATCTACAAGGTCACACAATATTGCTAACACGGCACAGACGTTTCCCAGATTTGTCTTAAGTAAGACCAAAAACCGAAGCCAAAGCAAACAAAACTATGATCACCTCAACTCACAACTGCGCGTCAGTTTGTATTCACGTACAAATCTCTCCCAAATAGCTACTGTGTGTCATCCCTGTGATGAAAACAGAAGGTTTTGTCTCCTTCAAATTTCCCTAAAATGTGTCACTATCTATAAGATGCGCTCATGGCATCGGACAGAGACAGTGAAGAGCTGAACTGTGTTCTCAGAGTTCTGTTCTCACCGCTGAGCTACCGCTAACGCCGAGAAAGTCGGTTCCCTGCAAACAACTACTTCTTGTCCTTCCGAGGACAGAAACTCCCAAAATAATGAGCTACGCCCTCCACTCGTAAGGAACGCCGGCACAGCCCGGCGCAGGTGTCACCCTGCTGGCGCTGATTTTAATCTGGCCACTTTGGGTCACAGAGCCGAGCGGAGACAGCTGTAACACCGGCACCGCCGGCCTTCACCCGCCTGAGAGCTGCGATACAGCTACGGCACTGGAGTGTTGCCCGGTGCTAATACTGCCAATAACTCTGAGCAAGCAGGAGCGGGTCGTTACGCCAGATGAGCGAGGAACACGAGAGAGGATGCCTTTACTCCAATGAAACTGTGATGAAACTCTGTGCTGTATGAGCAAGCTTTGATCACTTGCCAAAACATCTGCTTTCCAAGACAACATCACTCCTACTATTTGCATGAGAGATACAGATCTTCCTTCTGCTGTCAGGAAACCCTTTTCTTCCACCTCTGCCCCCAGTCCTGGCACAGCAGGCAGCCGGAAAAGCAGTGCGTGAGGCTGAAAATATAATCCCACTTTGTTTTACAAAGCCACGCGCTTTCAGACAGTGTTTTTAAGCTCTTTGTTTAAGTTGTTCGACAACGTGCTCAGATACCGGGACTGGGAATTATAAATCCAGCACCAGGCAACGCGGTCAATGCAGAAGGATTGAATGAATTGCTCTCCAGCTCTGGTGAAGCACAGTGGAGCTGGCAGGCGCTTGCGGTACGGAAGGAGGGAGTTACGCCTTTTCATTGTAAAAAATTAAAACCCCAAAGCGTCCCTCTCCTTTAGGATACGTGGGGAGGAGGGTGGAAAAAAGGTGTGGAAGAGGAAAGGCCTAAAGAAGTGAAGAAATACAAGTGCAGGGGGTCAGGAGCACTCGTGACAGGCGCCGATGCGCTGACCGGGCACTCTCAGTTCTGGGTGCCGCAGGAGCAACCAGGAGGCGAGAGCCCAGGAGAAGGACGCCTGCAGCTCACGCTGGAGGTGGCAGCCCCAGGGTCCCGTCACACCGCCGACACTGGGCTCTGCTCCCAGCAGCGGTCCAGGGAAGAGGATCCGAGCCGGGCGGTGCCACCGCAGGAGAGGCCCAGCTGCTTCTCTCTTGCTGGGTACAGTGGTGGATGGCGCTCCAGAGGAAAAACACGGCCAATGTGCGTCTGGATGTCAGCTCTACATGGAGACACCAACAAGGATGTAACAATGACGTTATAACTGGTTGGCTGGATGAGGGGAGAGCAGCAGATGTCATCTACCTTGACTTCAGCAAGGCTTTTGACACTGTCTCCCATAACACCCTCATTAGGAAGCTGAGGAAGTGCGGGTTAGATGAGGTGACAGCGAGGTGGATTGAGAGCTGGCTGTGTGACAGGACTCAGAGGGTTGTGATTAATGGAGCAGTGTCAAGTTGGAGGCCTGTAAACAGTGGTGTCCCCCAGGGGTCAACACTCAGTCCAATCTTGTTCAACATATTCATCAATGACCTCGATGAGGGGACAGAGTATATCCTCAGCAAGTTCGCTGATGATACCAAACTGGAGGGGTGGCTGACTCTCCAGAGGGCCGCGCTGCCATCCAGCATGACCTGGACAGGCTGGAGAGCTGGGCAGAGAAGAACATAATGAGGTTCAACAAGAGCAAGTGCAGGGTCCTGCACCTGGGGAGGAAGAATGCTAGGCACCAGTATAGGTTAGGG